ACGTCCACCAAAGGTGAAAGAATGTACCTTCAGTTTCTTTACATTTCCAGCATTTATTGTCGGGCAAATGATAGATTTTTGCAAGCTTGACTGGGGTCATGTACCACCTGTATATCATTTTCATAATATTCTCTCTTAGGACATTACATGCCGTAAACTTCATACCTGTGGTCCATAACTGTTCCCAGTCAGCAAACATAATATTATGTCCAACATCTTGTGCCCATTTAATCATAGCAGATTTCACCGTTTCATCCTGAGTATTCCATTTCAACAGCAAGTTATACATTCTTGACAAATTCTTAGTTTTGGGTTCTAACAGTTCTGTTTCTAATTTTGATTTTTCCACCTGGAAGCCAATTTTCTTGTCCAAATTATATGCCTCCATTATCTGATAATAATGAAGCTAATCTCGCACTTTATTTTTTAGTTTCTCAAAACTCTGCAGTTTCAGTCTATCTCCATCTTGTTCCAAAATTTCCCAATATTTCGGCCAATTGGCCTCCATATTGAGCCTTTTCAGAGCTTTCGCTTCCATCGGTGACAGCCACCTTGGGGTTTTGTTTTCCAACAAATCCTTGTATCTTATCCAAACATTAAACAGTGCTTTCCTGACAATATGGTTTTTAAATGCTTTATGCGCTTTGACCTTGTCATACCACAGATATGCATGCCATCCAAATACATTGTTAAAACCTTCTAAGTCCAAAATGTCAGTGTTTTCGAGAAGTAGCCATTCTTTCAACCAGCAAAAAGCTGCTGATTCATAGTAAAGTTTAAAGTCTGGCAGGGCAAATCCACCCCTTTCCTTTGCATCAGTTAATATCTTAAATTTTATTCTGGGCTTCTTGCCCTGCCAGACAAATCTAGAAATATCTCTCTGCCACTTCTTGAAACAGTCCATCTTGTCCACAATTTGCAATGTTTGAAACAAAAACAGCATTCTAGGCAATACATTCATTTTAACCGCAGCAATACGACCCAACAGTGAAAGCTTCAAATTTGACCAGATTTCTAAATCTTTTTTCACTTCCGTCCAACATTTTTCATAATTATCTTTAAATAAGTTCCACACATGCCTAAGTCAATCCAAGGTGGACTACCGTAACATGCTGCATTTGGTGTTGCTGCTTGCTGCATGTCCAAAACATCAGCTGATGTAGACATCAGTGAGCATGTCTCTAATTGTAATTCAGTTCAAAGTGCTTGTCATACCGCTTGGGCCCAGAGTATCAAGCAGAGCCTTTCGCCGTATGAAATGGACCAGCATTTGGCCGTATGAAATGGACTGAGATATTAACTAGTGTGGCTTTGTTTCCTACCCTATCAGAAGTGCTGTGTGTGTGTGTGTGTGTGTGTGTGTGTGTTTTGCTGGGTGTGGGGCATCAAACACAACCTAGCAGTAGCAAAGTTGTTGAACTCCCCCCTTTTAGAAATCCATATGGTTCCCACACTTTCCTTCCTTCCTTTCTTTCTTTCTTTCTTTCTTTCCTTTCTTTCCTTTTTATAGATGGTTGATTTTAAACAGTTTTGTATGCATTTTATTTTGCAATTGGTTATTTTGCAGCTGTTGTTGTTCTGCTCTGCGCAAGTTACTTAATATACATATTTATGATAATGATGATTTTTGTTTTTGACTTGTAAGCTGTTTTGAATACCGTTTGGTGGAAAAGCAGGCTAAAAATAAGTAAATAGTAGCATTGTTGGACCGTTAGAAAAAATCCAAAGTCCATAAGACAGCAAAACCTTTCTCAGCATAACCAAAATGCCATAACATAGAATGCAAAGTTAACTGTTCATCAGGCTCTATGTATTAAAAAGTCCATGGAGTGGGATAGAAAGAGAGGGAAAAGGCTGTTGGTGTTATTCTAGTTTTCTCTTTCTCCCACCATATAGCTTGAAGAAGAGTTACAGGAATCTTGCATTTGTTTTGTGACATTTTGTTTGGCTTAACAAAGTTATTTCCCTAATAAGGACTTTAATACAAATAAGCAATCTAACGAACATATCAATACATAAAAAATGAAGAAAATAAGGGACTTCCGGGGAGGCGCCTCTGGCAATGGCTGAATTCCTCCGATCGGGAGGAATTTGCTCCGTGAAAAGCAGGGTCTGACCGCCACGGTGAAGGCGGAGACCCACAGAAATCACAGGCGGGAGAAGCCTGTGAACCTGGGATTCGGCTGGCACCATTTGCGCCCCCCCTACTCGCGGGGAAACCCTGTTTTGGGGATCCGGAGCGACGTGGGGTGAGCGGCGCGGTGCTTTGAATCGACCGCTTCTTTCACGGAGTGAAGCCGCATTGCTGTTTTTGGAGATCGCTGACTTTTTCCTGTGGACAATTGGATTTTAAACGACTACCTGTGAGTAGAACGGAAAATTGGACTATGAAATTTCTTAATTAGGAACCGAAAGCGGGAAGGTTCTAAACAGGAAGTCCGCCTCCCGTTTTGTAAATAGATTGAAGCAAAGACGTTACAAGCTAAAGTCTTTGAAAGCTTTTGATAAAGGATTAAATCTCTACCGGACAAGAATATATAACCCCTCTTGGAAGCAGGAGAAGAGAGGGGAAGTTTTGGATTTAGTGTGCCTGCAGAAGAGAGTCAAAATTAAATTGCCACTGCTCTGAACCTGGAAAAGGGCTGCCAGATGACGTTCGGGGAATGTTTATTGACAGAACGGATTTGACAGCTAGCTAAAATAAGAAAGGTACTGTCTCCATTGTCCTTTTCTGCGTTTAAAAATGGAGGAAAAAGTAACCGAAAATTGAAACTATTGTTACTTGCTTGAGTTGTGTTTGAAAGAATTGATACAAACAGAGACTGTTTCCCTCTAGAGGAGCATGTGAAACTGTTACAGGAGTGCATTAGGGAGAGCTCCAGCTGCAAGATAAGATTCTGAAAAATAGAGTCTGACCTTGGATCATTCAAAATGTTGATAGGAGAAGCCATTGTGACTGTATTATACAAGATAAATCACGCGCTGGAACAGCTTCATAAAAAGACAGATGACACGATCTCTAAAATTGACAACTTGGAACAGAACGTGATTAATTTGAATCAAAAAGTGAGTGCTAATACAGAAACAACTCAGGATTGGGTACAGGAACATATCTTGGTTGGACAAATGGTGGAGGAAAAGGAGAAAGCTGATGATGTGAAAATGGTGGAGAAAAAGGAGAAAGCTGATGATGAGAAACTAAAAGTAGTACAAGCGGGATCCTTAATTTCTCAGAAGCAGATTGAGGATTATAAATTGAGGTCTTTCATGACTGAATCTAGCAAAAGTCAAATTTCGAGGACAGGATCCCGGCTTGGATTGAAGAAGGAAAGTTGGAAGGAACCCTCTATCCAGGGATTGACTTGGGCTTGGAGGAGTTTGAAGTTTTGGGGGTCGCTAGAATTGGAGGAATCCTGAAATACGTTCTGAAACACTTTATGGACTTTACTTTTAACTTTGGAAATTTGGCTAAGCTGTCCAGAAGGAACAAAAGTATTGCTAGGCTGGAGTTTTCCCAAGACTTGCTCCTGAGCATCAAAGAGCATGAAGAAGACCTGCAGAAGGGACTTGGAAGAGATTTAAGAGCCTCGGATATTAGGGCACCAGGTTGATGGATTATATGGAACTGACGGAAAGGACTGGCAGAATCTGAAGCCAGGGAGAGGAGATAGTGGAAGATTAATGGAAAATTTAAAGTGTTTATTTAGAAACTTTGTTAAAGTAATGACTGTCAGAAAAACGGTGGAATGATATTTTATGGACTTAGCAGAAATACTATAAGAAGTTGGGTGTATATAAGTAATCAACCGTTAATGGGAAATAAGGTTAAAGAATATGTTATTCTTAATATGACAGAAAATAGAAAAGATGGAAAGGATTTGCTGAAACAAGTACTAGAAGCGGGATACAAGAAGGGAGGTGTGAGGAAGTCGAGGAAACAAGGGAATGAAGGATAGAGTATGGAAAAGGAGAGATGCTTTTAAATTGTTTTTGTCTTGCTTTGTTCATGTGTTTAGTTTAATGGGTTTAGGGTGGGTTTGTATTGTTTATACATTGTATTGTTTTTCCCTTTCCTTTTTTTTCCTTTTGGTGTTTTTTCTCTCTTTTTTCTACTTTTTTGTAACTTTTAAAAGCAATAAATATTATTTTTAAAAAATCAAGAAAATAATAATAAAATTAATAATAATAATAATAATAAATATGTTCTCAAATAATTTGTTAATCAAGGCAAAAACAAATTAACCCTTTATTTTTTAAACCACTGACTATACCAGTAAATGACCATTGCATTCCATCAAGCAATGCTTTGTTTCTCTTTCTTGAATGTGAAATGAAGAACCTTTAGAATTATATTGGGATCAGTTAGGCTAATCTGTAGTTAGAAACAAAGGATAATATGAACCAATTAAAGTGAAGCGAAGTTTCATTTTAGCATGCCTGCTGCTGAGCAGATTTTAAGGTCACTGATTTAAAAGCTCCTTGGATGATAGACAAGCCATCCCAGCTAATTTGAAATGAAAAGCGGGAGTGTTCATAATCACTTAAAGCTTTCACTGGAGGCGGTTACAGGCTATTTAACCAGTCATATATAAGAAAAAAATATAAACTGAGCCTTGTGACATGGCTACGGGACTTCTGATTGCTTTCAGTAACTAACAGCCAAGCTATAGACCCTGTATAATCAATCATATGGTGTAGAGTGCTTATTTGTTTCCCGTTTGTACCTTTTGGGCCACAGTCAGAGGAAGAAGGGTCATGTGAGAATATTTGAATATCTGAAAGATGGCTATCTTATCACCTTCCTTCTCTGAGATGTGCTAAATATTTCACTTGTATGGGCCCCTCCCTCCTTCTGTCACTGGGTGAGAACACTAATATGTTGATTCTATGGAAACCATTGTCATGTGATTCCATTGAAAGTGAAGATAAACTCTAGATAGATATATTCAATATGACTGATAATCAAAGGAGTTTAGGTTGTACACTAAGCATTGTGGAGAGTCTGCTTCCCATGTCCTGCTTACAGGCTTCCCATCTGGTTGAACAAAGTGAGAATAAGACGTTGGACTGGGTGAGCCATCAGCCTGAGTTGCTGTCAGGCAATACTTTGACACAATTTATGAAGCATGTGTGGAATGTACATGCATATCTGAAAGGTATCCTGCACTACCTGGAAGTATATATTGCTATTACAATTTCATTCTGTCATATTCAATTTCCCTAACAGCATACATGATACATTCGCCAGCACTTCAGCCATATTTTCTGGTTATAGCTTCCATAGTCCAGATCATTGATTCATTGACTGTTATCTCCATTACTAGACCAGTAATTGAGGAGGCTCTATTAAGCAGTTGTATTTATTTCCCAGCCCCCTTCCTGTGGCACAACATTTTGTTTACATTTTTCTTGAAGTCTCATCTTCAGTCATAATAGTAGTTTGTTATCATTTGCAAAAGCAAAAATTAAAAGAACTAAATATATGAGGAGGAGGTAAGAAATAACACCATTCAAGGTTGCTGAATAAATGTGGTTTAGAGTCTCTTTTACACACACACACACACACACACACACACACGTGTGTGCAATGTTTATAAATCTGCTTCCTGTTTTTATAGCACTTCTGGCATGGCGGAAGCTGGATGTGATCCAACATAGGTTTTAAAATGAAAATACGGATCTCCTCCCTTCACAAAACTACACCAGGACATGCAGCCATGAAAGATACTGGTAAACCCCAATCTGAGTAGTTCATTGAGGCTAATGTTTCTGTAACTGTACCATTCTCTACTTAGACATCTTCTCTGTATTTTCCTTGGTCCCTGAAACTCCCCGGTCACTGCTAATGACAAAAAGACTACCATCTGCTTAAGCAAAATGAGGGCAGAGTATTAATACTTGTTCCCTAGGTCAATTGGCCAAATCATCAGTTTGGGTTGCACTCGTTGCTGTGTCCAAATCCTTGCCCTTTAGATTGGCTTAAGTCAAAAGATCAAAGAACCTATCAACTGTCAAGTGTCCAGATATCAGTCTGACTACTAATATTTAAATAGTTCCATTTATATACAGCCCCCCCCCCGTCTGTCTGCTTTCAAAGCAGTGACCTGTGTGGTTACTCTGATTATATCTTATTGTTCTCTTTGTAAACATTTGAATAAACAGGACTGCCATGCTATTAACATTCTGGAACATATATTTTAAACACAATTACTTAAATATTCTGGTTTAAAATAAGTATGTCCTGCAGGCCTAAATGTTTCTGCCCCTTATTATCTGCACAGTTCTACTGGTCTCATTCAGCATTTATTTGGAATATATGTATAATTGCCAAGCATTACAAAATACACATTACATATTAAGATAATGTATATTTTGTAAGAGTGTCAGCTGATGAAAGAATGTGAAAATTATATTAAGCTTGTTTAGAGCATTACTTTACCTCAATATAACTAGTTTATTTCAAGCTGAATTCATCATGAAATTGCTTCCACATGCACTGAAGTGCAGCTGGATTTGTATTTTTTAAAAGGAGCCAACCCAGTGCAAGTGGGTTGTCCATTAACACTAGTTCTAGCTGCAATTTACTATGCTAGTGTCAATGAAATCCCTATTGGCCTTGTTATGTACTGAAGTTGTCACCCTGGGCCAGCAGGGGGATACTGTAGATAGTTATGCAAATAAGGGATCAAAAGTGACGTTCAGTGATTGGATAGTTTTAGAAAGTTGTTGCAGTAACGTTGTACTGGAGCTCTATATAAGCAGGCTGACTGAACCCTTTCAGTTCGGTTTTGTCCTGGCCTGTGAATAAACAAGAGCTGTTTGAAGAATCACTGTGTCGTCTGATATGTTCACCCACAACTTAACAGGCCTGATGACTCACTTGATCTTTAGTAGGTTGGAGGAGGGCCATCTGCAGTGGTGACTCTGCAACATAGCAGAAAGAAGACCAGACGCTCAGTGCAGCTGCTACAGCAGGGATGGGGGAACCTGTGACATTGAAGCTTTGGGGAGACCAGCAGTTCCTGGGGGGACACTGTGCTGCAGCGTATTCGAGAAAGAGATGATTCAGTCACACTGTTAGAGTTTCCAGTTAGAGATTCCTGGGACAACTGCAAACAAAGCATTTTAAGTGTGTTGTAAAGTGCAATATACAAATCTGACACTAGATGGTGACAGAGAGCTATGATAATTTCAATGGATTTTTCAAAACTTTTTTTTTTAAAAAAAAGCATTTTCACAGCATTTTTTATATGTGTGTAGATTCCTCCCTAGTGTGTGTGTGTGTGTATGTGTGTTTGTTTGTTTGTAGAAGTTCTTGACAAATGTTTAAAACAATGAGCTAAAACCCCATAAGGTTATACATACTAGGTAAACACCTTATCCTCCCTTGCCCTCTTTGTTCTCATCTCAATCAAAGATTACCAAAAAAGAAAGTCAAAATAAATATAGCCACTTTCTCTGTCCCCCCCCCCCTCTTTCTCACCCACCCACCCACCACCTTTTTGAAAGCTATACAGTGGTACCTCAGGTTACATACGCTTCAGGTTACATATGCTTCAGGTTACAGACTCCCCTCACCCAGAAATAGTGCTTCAGGTTAAGAACTTTGCTTCAGGATGAGAACAGAAACTGTGCCCCGGCAGCGCAGCGGCAGCAGGAGGCCCCGTTAGCTAAAGTGGTGCTTCAGGTTAAGAACAGTTTCAGGTTAAGTACGGACCTCTGGAACGAATTAAGTACTTAACCCAAGGTACCACTGTATATGATTAGGGCCCTGACATTGCCTGGACTAGGGACGCGCATCTGGTACAAAATGTTTACAATAACAGCTTGCAGTATTGCAAGCGAATAATCAAGAGTCATGGCACATTAAATAGGCATAAAATGCCATTCCATTCAGAAGTGGTAAATATGTAGGGCACATTTTTCCAGTCATTTTTGGATGTTAGAACTCTGCATTAACACAGGAGCCAGAACATAGTTCTTGTTTTGTTTTGTTTTTTAATCAGGAAAATGGCCCAGGAGAAAAGAATTCGCTCATCTTCTCAGCCTGCAATATGAATCAGATCTCCCTGTCCATAAAGTCATAGGAACATAGGATGCTGCCTTATACTGGACTGTTGGCCCATTTGCCTCTGTGTTTACACTTGGCTGGCAGTGGCTCTCCATGGATATTCCCAGCCCTGCCTGGATGTGGTGGGGACTAAACCTGGGACCTTTTGGTGTAAAACAAGATAGTACTGCCACTGAACAATGGACCAGTCACTGTTCAACTTAAAAAAAAAAAGCCACAACAACCAGGGTTTCCCAATGTCATCTCACATTGCAACCACACCACTTTCTTCATTTCTTTTATTTTGAAAGTTGCATTAAAAATATTTTTAATTTTGTAACTCCTGTGAGGTGTTAATTAATTATATCTGGGATAAAACAAATGGCCCTCTGCTGTCTGAACAGCACACTCCCCAAAACAAGAGTGCTATTCATCCATTATTGAAGTTGTGCAAGAAATGGGCAATAAAGCCCATCTTTATAATCTATTCAGCAGTCTGGTCTTTTTAGGTGTGCATCCGCCGTGTCATATTCTCATGCATTTGTGAGTAATAATTCATTTCATAATTTGTTTACCAGGGGAAGACCTGACAGAGAAATGCCATTTCATATTCTAAGGATCATAAAACAGTAACCCGAGGTGTAATTGGTACAAGCACTAACCTTTTCTCTACACGCTGTTTATTACAAAATTATTTGTTTGCACAACATTTGTACCAAGGAGCTTTTCTCCTAGTCTATCTCACGCTTGTTTCAGCTGGCTGAGATGCTGGAGAAAGAGCTTCACTTAAGTGGGAGAAATCCACATATTGGCAGCTGCTTCAGTCTCATGCCTACTTAGAAGCAACTGCTATTGAATTTAGCTGGGGTTCCTTCCAGGTAGGAATGGGAGAATCTGTCAATTTTGGTCTCTCTAAATTCCTCATATTTTCAATCTGAAATTCAGTTCTCCACATTTCCATATCAATTTACATTAAAAAACAACACAATCCTCACAATTGCATTTTCATTTTAGTGCAAATTCTCTTATAACAACAACAACAACTTTTATTTATACCCCGCCCTCCCCAGCCAAAACCGGGCTCAGAGCAGCTAACATCAAATATATGACACATTACCATAAAATCGAGCAATCAATTAAAATACATCTTAAAATACATGTTTCATATGCATTTTTGCCTAATATATAATTGTTTGCAATGAAGTTTCCCCTAATGTAATGCATTTTTGTATGTTATTTTCACTAATACTGTGGAACCTCGGTTTTCAAACGTAATCCGTTCTGGAAGACCGTTCAACTTCTGAAATGTTTGAAAACCGAAGCATACATTTCTGGAAGCAATTACGTCTGGAACACTCAGTACGGAAGCCACATGGCACATTCAGCTTCAAAGAAGCATTTGAAAACATAAGCATTTACTTCTGGGTTTTGGCGTTCAAAAGCCGAACTGTTCGACTTCTGAGACGCTCAAAAACTGAGGTACCATTGTATATGATTTTAATGCACAATGTATCACAACATACACATTTTGTACACATTCCTTGCCTGCATTTAGACAATCTGGATACAAATTTCAAAGGACTGCTATATTTTGATTTGTGTATTGTTCTGGAAAGTGTGATTAGGTAGGTTTGCCTTTAAGTGCAAACTGAATCATATTTCTCCCTCATCCCTATTCTACACCTAGCCCTAATGGACTCCACTAGCCTCTACCCTCAGAGTGATACCAATGTCTCTCTGTCAGCGTGGAGCTTCCTGTTAATGCCTGCTGAACATGCAGGTGGATAAAAGTACCACTAGTGGGATCCCTGCCAGCATTAGACCACGGAAAGCCTTGAAATGGGCCATTATGGGGTCAAGAATGTGCTGAGTCAGCCCCACTGCGCTCTCTCTCTCTCTCTCTCTCTCTCTCTCTCACACACACACACACACGTGCAATATTCACGGTGGTAGTTAACGACTTAATAGGGGACAACCTGAGTTGTTGAAATGAGTTTTGCACTTTTTGTTTCCCCAATAGAATATGTTCTCCAGATGTTGTTAGAATACAACTCCTATCATCCTTGAAGGGAGCTGGATTCCAACAACATCTGGAAAGTCACAAGTTCCCTGAATTCCCAATACTATAAGCTTGCATATACTTAGATGGATTTTTAAAAGGTGGAAATGGTTATGACAGATTGAATTTCTATGCTACCTTTTTACTAAGGAGCTCAAAGTGGTGTGTACGTTTTTCTCTCCCACCCTATTTTTAACCTCACAACAACTATGTATGGTAGGTCAGGATGAAACAAGCTGTGATTGGCCCACAATCACTGAGTGGGTTTCATGGTTGGGTGGGAGGATTTTTAGCCTGATTTCCCTGGTCCTAGTGCAGACTCTAACCACCACTGGCTCTTCATGTGATCTAATGTTATATTCCCACCACTGCACACAAACACATATGCAAAGAAAAAAGTTGGAGAGCATTCATTCTATAAAAGTTCATTTTGTTTCAGTTTATTTCCCCATCATGCTGCTTTTTAACAGCATATGCATTTTGAATCTAATTTATATTGGCTGCAATAGGTTTGGACCAGTTTCCCTGCTGCCATCCATCACTGAAACTATATAAATGCAGTCAAAGCATTTGAAAATATTAGAGCATCCACTTTCCCCATTACTTTCATGAAGAACACATTCATTTTTAATAGGAAATGTTATCTGAAGTTTATGATGTAACCCTACCCGAGAGAGATTGTCCCAATGACTTTTTAGTTGTTATGAGGCTAATAGACATCTCTCCCTTTTGGCTCTCTACTTTGACTGCTCTGAAGTGAGGCTAATATGGCACAAAAGGAAACAGTTAAAAAGAGTCCGGTGGTCCTTTAAAAATTGATTGTGGCTTGAAGAAAGCTGTCTCTTGGCAGACGTCACTGCAATGTCTGACAAGGAAAGACAGAAAAGATAAAGGGCCGGAAAATATTCTGAATCACGTATTACTCTTCCAAAAAAAAAAAAAATCATTTACACAAAATCAACCACCTAATACTGAAGTGGAAACCAGCAAAAAAAAGGTTGTATGTATCCAACAATAGTCATACTGAAGTAGACCCATTGGGTAGTATTCAACTAAGGTTTTGTCCATACCTCCCTCTCTACCACTGCTTTCCCTTGGAAAAAAATGTGATTTAGTGCTGAATCGGAACAAAGGGTAATTGGGTTTTCCATGGATTACCTCTAAAGAGACCGTTTTCAGGATAGAGAAGTGTCAGTGGAAAGGCTAAACCACTCAGACTCATGCCAAAAAAACGGGGGGGAGGGGGAGCAAGCCGAAAACTGTTCAGACCTGTTCTTTCTAAGCATAGGACAAGTGGAAATGTGGACATGTCCCAAGTTTTACTCAGAGTAGAGCTATTGAAATCAGTGCATCTAACTTCATCATTGTTGTTCAAAAGGTCTGGGAAGGGTTTCTTAACGTAAAATATTTTACCATGTTATTCATTGGTACGGCTGCATTGAAGCAACATTTAGCTGAAGACCACCCACTGAAATTAATGTGTATCAATAATTTTTTTAATGCATTTTAGTGGAGGGTGTAAAGAAACTGATATACCCCATTACATGATCCTTCCCAAGTCTCTGAGATGTGTGTGTGTGTGTGTGTGTTTTATGTATATGGGATCCTCTTCAACGCAGGACCCTGGGGTGCCTCCTACGTCACAGGGGCTGGGCATCGCCGAATCCTAGCCAGAGTGGCCCCATGGTTGTGCCTGGCTTATTAGCCAATCACATTGATTGGCGTGATTGTGGGGGGTATTTAAGTGGCAGCGCGACGTGGCTCAGGCATTTGCTTCGCGCGGCCGAACACCTGCCCACCTGCCCTTTCTTTGGTTTCGGTGCCCTGGCCTTGCTTGGGACTTCGGTTGGTTGCCTGTCTTGTGTCAGGGGCCTGGTAGGAATTTTTTCCATTTGACAGATTGGCAATGGTCATTTGGTTTTCGCCTACCTCCCAGCAATCGTCACAACGTTGTAAGGTTTGGCGGTTAGGCATTGGCTTAGTGTTGGGTGTGGGAGGGGTGGGGTGGGGTGGCCATCACCTGCCCGTCCATGAAAAGGGTACTCCATTAAAGGAATCTGGGGGTCCTGGATCTTGTCCGAAGTCCGCTTGAGGGGCTTGGGACATGCCAGGACTACAGGAACCCCGGGGTGAGCTTCAGTCGATTTGCATCAGTGAAGCTCCCTTGTTTGGTTTTTACCCTTTCAGACTTCCTGCTGAGTGGACAGGAGTCAGTTATAGTCTTGCCAATGCCTATGCCATTACCGCTCACATTGTGTAATCAATAAAGTTGTGGCCTAAATTTTTGCCCATCAACCTTAAACTAAAATATGTGTGTGTATTAATTTATACAGGGGGTGCCCTAGGGTCCTCAAAGCGCAAATATACATACATATATATATATATTACTAAGCAGAAAGTCACAAAATGTCTTGCTATAGTAATTTGCCTTACTATGCCTTTCTGATCTTTTAACATTCTGTAATTTTTTTATTTGTTGCCAGTGGGCCATAAATAAAGGATATGCATATTTGTTAGTCAGAGCAGACCCACTGAAATTAACTTAGGATGATTACAGTACATTTTGTTAGGGAAAGTTGCTTTACAAAATTGTATATATTTAGCAAAAAAAAAATATTATGAGAATTTTGCACTAAAATTCAGATGGATTTTCATGAGGACTTAAAAATAAAAAATAAAATGCAAACTTATGTGGTAATGTGGAGAACTGAACTAATAGCACAAACTGAAAATCGAGAGATATTGAAATGGGCATATTTGTGTTAGCACACTGACACACCAGCCAACTGCAAAGGGGCTTTGAATTGCTGTACGAAGACCTCACAAATTGGCATACTTGCAATGAATTAGTTGTGCATACTATTAATTATATGCATGGGCATATATCTTCAGAGAGTGTATACCAGGTAGAAGGAGGGGTTGTTTTTTTGCCAGTTATTTATACAATGTGAAATAGCTGTTAGCAGAGACTGCTTGGAAACCACGGGTAAGCTGTTCTAAGGAAGGTACAGTGGAGTTTATGTATTCATAATAACAGCAGCAACAATACTTTTGACATCAGAGTAACTCAAGAGGTGCATGTTTATTGATAACAATATGAATTAGACGTACTTCCACAAGTGCATACAACTGTATAGGATTTGTTCTTCCAAGACCTTGGAAGAAACAGCAAAACAAGCTTATTTACCCCCAACATTAACAGGAGGGGTCAGGGTTGAAGTCACTGAATGAATGGAAAGCTCACCCTTTGGCTGCTGGCATTGCGTATTCAAGTGCAAGCTGCATTCTGCTTGAGTTCAATTCTTAATGCTCTCTGACCCTCACTCCACTATAAATAATCAGAGATATTCATCAGATGACAGCAGAGGCTGCAATGAAAGATGGGGTTTTCTTTGTAGAGAAGAAAGAAAATATATTCTGACCTCGTATTAACTTGCAAAACATTGGTCTAGTCCTACACAGACATGGTTAAGACAGTATTCAGAGGTTTCTGCACTGCGGCAATGAGCCAACCCAGGATTTTACAACATGTAGTTTTAAAGTAGTGGCCCATAGACCTCTAACACAAATATTTTAAGCACGGGCATTGCTTGTGGTATTTTGAATAGAGCCTATTCCAGAAAGTAATACATGCAGCATGCCATGGGTCCTGAGCTAGTATCAGGCACAGGAGGAGAGTGGCAGGCTAAAATAGACGAGAAGGATGTCATAAGGCAGGTTGAGACTGGGGAACAGAGGCTTGGAGGAGCTGGAAGGAACAAGGCAAAGATTGCCCTTGCTTGTCCCAGCCCCTGCTCAGCTCCCAGGCGGAGGCTGGGCGTGCAGAGGGTGCCCAGCAGTGGCAGATGTTGGCTCCCTTAATATTGGGGGTGGGCGGGCTTGGCCCCCTGCCTCAAAATATTGAGGGGGCTAAAGCCCCTTGCAACCCCTATGCCTGGCGCTCCTGGGCATGGTAGTCAATATTGAATTAGGTACACATTAGTGTACAGAGTTTGCAACAATTGCCAGAAGCTAAATTATTTGATGGACCCCTCCAGAGAGGCTGTTAACAGAAGCAATATAGACTGCTCCTGTGGCACCCTGTGGCAAAACTGCCCCCCCCCCATTCCTTGAACGCTTCCATCCCCTCTTAAATAAACTACCTTTTTTCTGCCTCTCTCTCAAGACAGTTTAGACTTCATTTTGAATTTTGATGGATGTGGGTTTGGGCTTATCTTATCACTGAGAAGTGACAGTGAGCATTTCTTATGTCTTCTTTTCTTTCCATTCAACATTTTTTTTCCCTACCAAGTGCCTACACTTTTTGATCTGAAAAAGCCTCGGGGGAGTTTATTTATTGATTTGTTTCAATTCATGAATTGCTCTCTATAAAACATCTGGAACAAATGTAGCAATAAAGTTAGGTTACCAGACGTCCCCATTTCCGTGGGACAGTCCCCGGATTTACAAATCAGTCCCCATACAAAATCCATTGAAGTTGAAAAGTGTCCCCGGATTCATTGAAAAAAAATCTGGCAACCTTACAATAAAGACACCAACAATTAAAGCAATTTCATGTACAGTGGCACCTCAGGTTACATACGCTTCAGGTTACAGACTCCGCTAACCCAGAAATAGTGCTTCAGGTTAAGAACTTTGCTTCAGGATGAGAACAGAAATCGTGCTCCGGCGGCGTGGCAGCAGCAGGAGGCCCCATTAGCTAAAGTGGTGCTTCAGGTTAAGAACAGTTTCAGGTTAAGTACAGACCTCTGGAACGAATTAAGTACTTAACCTGAGGTACCACTGTATTAAAGCAATTTCAAAAACAATACAGATGCAGACTAAAAACAGCCACTTAAAAGGTGTGTTGCTGTTTTATTTTTTAAAAAATGAAAGCCTTCAGGAAGCATCAAAAATAATAATAATGAATGGTCTCCAACTACTGTATATTTTCTTAGAGTTGACTTGTCTCCAACTATCTTTTACTTAGAGCAGAACCATTGAAATTAATAGATCAAAGTTAGTAATATTAATTGGGTTTAACAAGTCTACTTCAAATTGGACTAGCATTGGATCCAACTTGGTGCCTCCCTGTTATGTTAATGGAGGGAGTTCCACACTAATGGCCTGATTCCTACACTGTGCGGAATGGACTTGAGGGCTGCAAAGGACAGCTTAGGCAGGCCATGCAACAAACACAACTCTGTCTATACTCCATGCCTCATCCTCTGTGGCCTGCAGCAACTGCCTCACTCTGTCTAATGATGGGGCTGGCCCTATCCCCTTTCATAATCTTTGAGTGCAGTATCTTTTCTTATAAATTGATGATCTTCTGTAATGCAACTCTTTATACCTTTGGCAACTGAGATGTGTGGTTTCAGGACTCACCCTATTCAGGTGGCTATACTTTGTTCAATACTGAATTTGACATTGTTGTAATCCATCCTAGAAGCCGCTAGTGAAGAGTGAGTAATAATTTTAACAACAATTACAACTGAATGATATTGCAGAAATGTAAGGATATTAGATACCTGCCCCCCCGCCCCCACAAACAAAATATCATTTTGCTTGAATATGTAAAGAACATCCCTTTCCAGAAAGAGATTTTGAGGTAGCAATTAATTTATTAACTGTTTCAAAAATAATAATAGCTAAAAATTGGAAAAGAGTACTATGTTATCTTTCATTCAACAAACTGAATAAAATATGTTCCATCATGGTAATGATTAAATTAACGCATTATAAGAAAATGCAAACTAATCAGCCAAATAGTTCTATGGAGAAACTAGCTATGTTTCTAATGTTTCGGAATAACACATATCGAGATAATGTACAACCATATGATGCTTTCAATTTATTGTAAGTCTATTTATATGAGAAATTCAAATATCATTGCAATGAATAACCTATTACTCAGATAAAATCCTCAAGCAAAATTGGTGAAGGTTTG